TTGTATTAGGAGATTTGTTATGTGCACATCCACCAGCTGAAAAATTCTGCATTTCTACACTGACATGTTCATTCCTAAATTAGGTTTTTTATAATGAGAGAACAATATTGGAGGGGACGAATATACCAACCCTGCATGAATATACTGGAGAATTTTAATGGCTAACGAGATTTAGGGAGTAGTCAACGTAAATATGAAGATATTTTTAAATTAGTTTAAGCCGGCTGAGAAAACCATTTCCGCCGAACCGTTGAGTAAGTCGATCGGGCAGAAGCAGTTCCAATGTCTGCCGATAAATACATGCATCAATTTTTTTTTTTTTTAAATGTTATGCCTATTTTTATATTATTCATGTCAGAGCTCAAGTTTCTTACTTTTACACATCATTGACCAGGTTAACAAATAACAGGAACAAATAAAAAAAAAACAAGTAATAGAATTTCAGATCAAAATGGGAGTTTCGTCTTGAAAATATCATTCAAAGTTTGAAATTGTATGGGGCTTAAAAGTTTTTCAAGTCAAGTTTTCGAAAAAATGTGTATATAAACTTTTTCAAGAAAAAATTCTCCAGTTTTTCATTTTAAGTCATATAAAGCAGCGATTAATTTATTTTTACAAAGTATTCAATTTAACTCCATTTTTTTGCCCTGAATCATATGGGACTTTATAGAGCCTTAAAAAAGTTTAGGAGAATTTTAATGACATAGCAACTGTGCTTCTAAATAGTTCTTGTTGCTGGATAAGTGCCTGGCTAAATTCCGCAGTTTGTATCGCTCTTCATGTTCATACTTGTTGCAGGTGACTGCAAGGTTTACTCTGTAGAAGGAGGGGTCCTGCTGAACTGGAGATCTATCACGAAGGTGTTTTTTAGACACCAGCTATGGTGTTATCTCAGTTTAGACTGCTATTGTGGAAAAACTCTCTTTGTTTGTGGAGGTCCAAGTGTTGGACTGTGTTTGAAATCGTTTTACCCTTAGTGCTTTTATTGCTTTTGCTGTACATTCCTGCCCATGTATGTTTTTGTAGTTAAGCATTTTTTTTATTCGTTATCCGTTGAGCATGTGCTAATTTAGAAGGATTTTTTTGGGGAAAATGGTTTATTTAAGTTTATATATATAACTTGTATTATATATATTATGTATTATATATATTTAGTTTTTGCCGATTATAAAGCTGCCCAAAGTCGTTTTTGACGAGTTTATTGTTGCTGGAGATCAGAGTGATTTTAACAGAAGCATTGGAGATGTTGCAACTATTTCTGAATATTATTGCTGGATGCCAAAAAAATTCGGTGTAGTATTCAGGTCTTTCAGAAATTTTTGTTACGTTTTGTAGTTCACTTTCACTGAAAATATAAGAACTTTTTTAACGAGATGTAAAGCTTCATTGCAATAATTTTTATATTAAAACATTACTTACTTTTTACTTTTTCACTTTTATAGCTTCCAGGTTTGGGATTTGCTAATGTTACTTATTTTAGTAGTGATGATGTAAAATACAGACGAAGTATTAAACAGTTTGGTGAGCGCCTAAACTCACGATATCAAGTTGGAAATGGTTCTACTTTCAGTATTGATGTTCAACTCTTTGATAATGAAACTGACTTGTGGAACAGTCTAAAAAACGATGCTTTGCAGCCAGAGCATTGTAATCGAAAGTACATGGGTAATATCGTTTTCCAAATAAGAAGCGGATTAACTTGAATTTTTTAACTTATCTATCAGCTGCTTCTAAGAAAAGTAAACTTTATTGGCAAACTTTCAAGCAAAAAAGTACCTTCTCATCTGATTTCTACATCTACTGCATTCCACTTAAGCATTTAGCTTTTGAAAAAAAAAAAAAAAGACACTTGCTCCTACTTGCTCTGTTACTGTTTTGGAGCTGTAAAACAGGGTTACAGCAGTTCCATATAAAAATTTCTATGCATTTTCATTTATTCTGTTTGTTTTTTCTCTCCAGGAGATAGGAGAGGAACGAGCTTATTTTATTAGAATGTAGTTGTTAATCTGCCTCATATTTTTGGGACAGTTTTTCTTTTTAAGTCGTCTTGGCATTTGCTTACATTTTGTTCTTGTAAATCGGGCTTTCTTTCAAGACCAGTTTAGAATATAAGTTGATCATCAAGTAAGATACTGCCCTTGCAACCCAAAAAATATTTTTGAAAAAGTGGCGGAAAATTTGCAAATATGAATCTTTTTAATGAAGAAATGGCTTCCAGATTGGGATAAATAATCAATTTATTGCGGAGGTAATACCATTTGCGGGTGTTAGAGCAGGATCGTCCACAAATGTGTAAGCGTCTTTAGTGACTAATTGAATGTTTTCTATTTGATTTTGACTTTTTGCTGATGATTATGTAAAATCAGAATCCTGTAAGGAAGCCTTTTTTCATCCAGATAAGTGACTAGAATTGAAAACTTTTGAAACCAGGTAATTCAATTTCTGTTTTTCATTGTCTTATCACTTGATAGTTTTGAATGGGATTTACTTGGTGACAAGGGGACTCTTTTGTAAATATTGGGACGTGAAAACTCGAATTTTTTCGATTGAGAGAGGTTTGCACTAGTGATCCTCATCCTGCAAATAAGTAACGATTTTTTTCTGCATATTGATTACTGTCTTTTTACGTGGTTTGAAACAGTTGTTCTTTTGACACTAAGGGGTTGGATTATTTTTCAACGTTTTGAAGGTCAGATGAGTTTGCACTCTCAATTAGGTAGTTTAGTTTCTTAAAAGTTTTTGGTTTAGTGCTTGCTTTTGGTTGTTTGATTATTCTGTTAATATTTTGCAGCCTGAGCTGACCTCAAGTTGTAGTTGCTGATAAAAAAGGTTTAGCTGAGTAGTGTTTTGTTTTGGCACTCGTTTCGTTCTAGTGTTTATTTTTAATAAATTATATTCAGAAGATTTTGAAGAAAGTCTCTGGAATTGCTGAAAGTACACAAATGTACTTTAGGTCATATGTTGTAAACATATACATATGCAGCTAATAACCTAACAAACAGGTTAATAGTCAAAAGTTTCCATGTATTGACTATGTTACATTATCAAGAAGTTTACATTTGAAATTTCGCTAGAAGTTGCTGTCAAAGCAGCAGAACTTATAAAATGTTCTTTATTTATAGTTTATTTCAGTCATAGAGGCATCTTGGTTTTTATGTAATACAAGAGAGTCTTCAGTGAACGACTGTAGATGTAAAACATCTGATACAGAAGAATTAGATACAGAATCACTAGTGCAGTGTCGCATTTGTATTTGGAGCGTCTAGACACTTTTTGCAGGCAACGGAAAAGAAAAAAATTTTGATTCTGGGAGAAAAGCTTTTAAGCTTTATCACTTCTTCGAAGTAGAAACGTCTTTGGTTCTTTTACGTGTGTTGTTTGCACTTTTAGACTACAGCTATGGGGGACCATCCAGTTTTTTTTTTTGGCAGTATTCAGCGGTCGGTTATAGTAACTAAAAAACTGTTTGTGGTATTCGTTGACTTCCAGTCTATCATTGCGCTATTCGAGGACATTTAGGTTTTCCATTTCAAATGGTTCTGCGTAGTGCTGTTTGACCAATTTTAAATTTCTAAATACAGCTGTAGTGTCATATTTTAACAGCTTTACTAATTTTCTTGTTTAATTTTTTACAGTAAGATTTCTTAGGAATTTTAAATGCTTGTTATTGAAGCTTCTAAAGACTAGGAAGCAAAAGTTTTAAATTTTACAGGTGGGGCAACTATTAAAAGGTATGATCCGGAGCGGCAGAATTTTGAATACAGTTTGCATTTGGAGTCTAGAGTTGCTTCTTGGGTATATGAATGGAGTTTTCAAAGAAGCCCTTGGAAGGACGATGACCCTTATGGCGATATTTCTGGTAAACATCCGACGACGGGAGGGATTATAAATTATTGGTCTTCCGGGTTTCTATCTCTTCAGTATGCTATCGATGACATTTTCATTGAGGTTTTTGTCATTTTTTGTTATTACCTCATATTTATGACGTTTGATGCGTTATATTCTCTGTTGGTTTCTATTAGGCAGCAAATGTTTCATCTGTGAATGGCCGATTTTCCCTTTCCCTTGAAAAAATGCCTTATCCGGCTTCCTTGCAATTACCTCTGGAAACTCTATTTGCCATCTTGCCGCTGCTGCTCCCGCTTGCTGCGGTTATGAACATCGTGCATACTGTATCAGCATTAACAGGAGAGAAGGAAACCGGAATGATGGTGAGAATTAGAAGATTTTGTGAGAAAAATTTTGGTGACTGTCGTTTAAAGAAGTTTTTTAAGCTTTTTTGTTTAGGCGTATCTACAAATGATGGGGCTCGATTCGTTGCAGTTTTATATAGCCCACGGGATTATGTCTTTAGCAAAGCTGTTAATTATTTTTGTTCCTTGCGGGTTGATTTTACTTCCCCAATTTATAGTAAGCCACAAATTAAATTTCTTATGGGTTTTAAAACTTCTTAGTCAATGCTTCTTTATTCATTCCGCAGTATACATTAAATTGACTTTGTAACATTTTTCAGCAACCTTTTTTAAATTTTGTCGATTTCACAAAAAAGTTGTTAGGAATTTTTGTTGTTTTATTTTGAAATGTTTTTTGGCCTTCTGTTTTACTAGCTGTCTTTTATATGAAAGTTGCTTTATTTGTTGAGGTTGTGTCTGGAAGTTTGCTTATATCAATAATAATCTTGTATAGCATTGGAACTGTGGCTACTTCCTTTCTCATATCATCGTTATTCCATAATTCAGGGTCTGCTGTAAAAGGAGCCCTAGTTATATGGATTCTAAGTATTATTGGTAAGTTTTTTTTCAAATTTTTTTTCGACTCTCTTCTGAAATAAATTAAAATTATTATAGTTGGGTTGGTTTCTTCCTCAAAAATTACTCCTTCTGAGGTGTTCTATCGTATCCTTGCATCTTTAAATATAAATTGTGCTCTCACGGCAACTTTTAGCGCTATCAGGTCTGCCATGCATCGAGGTATCTTACGGTTTTTTCTAATTCTTTTATTCTGCACTGTCCATTAGTGTTTTTCTCTGTTCTCTTGAAATCTTTATTTAGATTTGCCTTTACACATCTGGAATTGCTTTGATGGTAGAACTTACTCTTTTACTTGTGGACACGGTGTATTGATGATGATATGTGATATTATTTGGATGGTCTTGCTTGCGGAATACTTGGATAACGTTTACCCTCCTGGCGATCAGCCTAGAAAGAATTTGCTATATTTCTTAAAAGTAAAAAGCCTGCTTCAAAATAGTTATTCCATGTGACGTTGTACAAAAAACTTTTTATTGTTTTGAGAAATACTTACGTTTTTCTGGAGCATTGTGGACAGCTAGAAAACTTCTTTACTGCACTCGAAAAGCAATTTTTTATGGTATTTGAGTGGACAAAGAGGAATACGCTGATCCAAGTAAAAGCGGTTTAAGATAGCATTAATAACATCGTTGTAGTTTGAAAGAAAAGAGGGCAGTCGAGTGATTATGGACCGAAACGAAACTCCCACAGACACTAATGGTAACCCGAGAAATATTCAACCCTATGAAAAGATTGAAGGAACTGGTGAAGCAGAAGTTAATGTATTTGGACTAACTAAATTGTTTGGGAATTTGCGCGCTGTAGATTCTTTGTCATTTCGAGCATATTCAAATCACGTATGTGCTTCCAGGCTCTTTTCGGTTCTTTACTAACATTCCACCTATTTGCCTGCGATACTGTTAAATGCTGTAAGCATTGCTTCTACTGTTTTAGATCACTGTTTTACTGGGCCACAACGGTGCTGGCAAGAGCACCACTTTCTCTTTATTGACAGGTTTGTCTGCTCCTAATGCTGGAGTGGTCGAGATTTGCGGTGTGAAACTTGATTTGTCAACGCTTTCAAGATGTCAGAAATTTTTAAGTTTTTGTCCACAGTACAATCCCATATTTGATCTCTTGACAGTACGTGAGCACTTGATCTTCTTTCGCGATTTAAAAGGCAATGTTGGTTATCCAGTGGAGAACCTATTAGAAGACATTCAGTTAGAAAAGAAGGCAAATGAGGTGAACTCATGTTTCTGTTAAATTTGACTGGAGTTGACATTTGGTTTTTATTATAACATTTTCTCGTTTAAAAAATCGTTTTTTTATATTTAAATTTTTAAGCTTGCAAGAAACCTTAGTGGCGGCTTGAAACGTAAGTTATGCATTGCTATGTCTTTTGTCGGTGGTAATCGAGTAGTACTTCTTGACGAGCCAACTGCTGGGCTGGATGTTCATGCTAGAAGATTAGTTTGCGACTTTCTCGAAAGGTTTAAAAAGGGCAGGTCAGAAAGTTTTTAGGCTTTTGTCGTATGTATGGATTTTCTTTCGTAGTGAAGTTCTTTGTTTCAGAACGATCTTGTTGACTACTCATTATATGGATGAGGCGGATCGTTTGGGAGATAGGATAATAATCATGGTTAAAGGCCGTGTAGCTTGCTCTGGAAGCTCTGAATTTTTGAAAAATCGCTTTCGTACCGGTTACTTATTGACCATTTCACTTAAGGTATGCATTTATGCGCTATCATTGTTATTATTATTACTATTATTATTATTTTTATTATTATCATTATTATTACTATTATTATTGTTACTGTTACTGTTATTGTTATTAGTTTAATAATAATGATAATCACAATATGAATAGGAATGAAAATTATTGTGATAATAAATTTGATTCTTTTTCTTTTATCATTTTAAAGTTTCATTGTCAGATGTTTTATACGAGTGCTTTTAATTCATCAACTATCAATTTGTTTCTAAAGTTGTACCTAATTAAGGGACAATCTAAACCGGAAGCAAAGCCTCGCATCATGAAGGCTGTCAAGAATTATATTGAAAATGCTTTTTTGCAAACTGAGACATCTCAGCAGCTTACAGTTTTGTTACCGGCGGAGGACAAGGCTCTGTTAGTTTATTTTTTCGAAATCATGCTTTATTTTTCTTTTATGTGTAGTAATGGTAGCAGTCATAGGTGGAGTTTATTAAAACCTGTATAAGTCAGTAACAGTTGGGTAACATTCCACTATTTGGTCTACTGACAGGCGGTACTTCTGAAATGTGTGTTACAAATGAGTCTCCTTCATATAAGTAGTCATTCAAGTATGAACTAGTCTCCGAAGGAAAGGAGAGCAATCTTGTAATGACGATCACACGTTGCATTTGAACGATGAAAAAATGCAACGAATACATATGTGGTGTTGTAAATTGTTTGACCGGTTAGGAGTAAATTGCCCCAGTGGATAAGTAGGCACTTTGGGGAGCGGAAGCGAACACGTGAGAGGAAGAAGCGTTACACATTGCTGAAATAACCTGGTTTATTTATTCAGCTTTCCTCTTAGACGAAGGCTTTATCCATTTCAATCATAGTAGCGGCCAAGGACTCACATGAGTGTTTTTTAAGTAAAAGACGTTAACACTGTTCATAGTTATCTCTCCGTTATGTAAAATAGTTCCGTTGAAGGTGCAGCGCCTGTGAAATGTTCTTCAATTTTAAATATAGATGTTATCAGTTAACTTTTGAGAAACTGTTCGTATAGTGATTCATAAAAATAGCTTATTTATTGAAAAGAATCAGATTTGCTAATAATCATCCATCTCTGAAATATTTAGGTGGTTTCCCTATCAAAATGTTTTTTTTAATGAGAAAGCATTTATTGAAAAAATAAATTAGGGGTACTGATCGTCAGCAAAATTTAAATTTGGAATTTAAAAAATAAACAACATTTGAAAGGAACTTAGAATACTTTGTAGTATATCATTTGAGATATTACAAAGTCTGAGATGTCAACGAATTTATGATATAGAAAACAGAGTAATTTCGAAATAAACAGTGAATTTTTATTCAGTCCGGCTTTGAGAAACAATCGACTTGCTTCTAGAATTTTATTTTAACTTTTCCGGATACTTGACAGAGGAAGAGGCATAGGGTAAGTAGGAGTGAAAAAAAGTGACAGGGAGGAAGGTAAAGTTGCTACTTGAATTTGTCTGCGCTATATCAGTTCCTTTGTTCCGCAGCTTCTTTTAAGCTCTTAAAAATTCGTCGCCTCAACCGGCAAGAATTTTCATTTTGTTAAAATATCTTCCTTACTCAAAATCATTTGTAGAATAGTTGTAGTATAGTTTGAAGAATGGCTGGAGGAGTTTGAAAATGATGTGGAATGTTGTGAAGCAATCGATAAACCATTGTTATGTCAATTTTTGACAGTTCTTTCTGGATGTGATAATATCTTTTATACTCTAAGAGATATAGCAAAACTTTTGCACTTGAGGTATCTATCACTGTGGTGATACTATGATTTCCTCCGCATAAGTGCTTCAGTTTATGTATCTTAACTGTATTTTTACAGATTCCCAGAACTATTTTCTATTTTGGAGAGTCAAGGAGATGAACTTGGTATCGATTCATTTGGTGTTTCAGTCAATAGCCTCGAACAAGTTTTCTTGAAGTACTTCATTTTTCGCACCTTTTTAAAATTTTTCTTCAAGTATGTAATTCGTGGACATTTAATCTCAACACACCACAGGGTTGGTGAAGGAATAGACAATTTTGGCCAAAACGGTTTTGATGCTGCTGATATGGCAAAACGTCGGGCACTACGTTTGTGTGATAACAGCAGAAGTACTATTTTTAAAAATATTTATCCTTGTCAAAAATACTACGTATTAAAAGTCTTATTTGACTTTTAAGCTAAGCTTAAATAGTCTTATTCTTGTTTCAAAGCTGTGTGCTCTTACTCTTTTAGTGGCAATGGTCATTTTTTAGGGGTTGGCAGGCGTGTCGCGCTGTGGTTGCAGCAGACAAAAGCGCTGTTGTTAAAGCATACTATCTTTGTTTCCCGCCATCCTGTTCGGTTTTTTTCCCAGTTCTTTCTCCCTCTGGTTTTGTTGGGCATTTTTTCGTACCTACTGAGGTCGCAAGAGCGGGGAGACACAAATGGTCAGCTTTCGTCTATTTTTTAAAACTGAGTCTAATCCTATTTTTTTTTT